ATATATATAAATCAGTAGCTTTGTGAGTGGGTATCACATAGGAGAGTTTTAGTGGATTTCGAAAAGATTATAAGACAAAAAAAAAAGTACCTTATATTAAGTGAGTGGTTCAACTTCATTTGTTTATCAAAATATTCTGACCAATTATTGAAAAATATCTTGCCTTAGATTTGATCCCTCTTTTTAAATATATATAGGAGTATATATTTTTTATTCCCATGTATGGTTCCCTTGTGGAAAATTGCTTTGTTTAATCTGTTTCTTTTTTATGTTGGGGTCGTTTAGTTGTTGATTAGAAGGTGAATTTATTCATTTATTAAAATTAACATAATTAATACCATGTTTTGAAAAATAGCCGCATATAGAAAAATCACTGGAAAATAGTTGTTTTCCTTGAATTTCAGCTACTTATGGATGGATGTCGATAATATTTACTGAACTTTTGTCATATGTAGCTTTCACCATAATTGTCGTCTAAAATTAGATTTGACAAAACATGATTTCAAATAACATATGGTTAAAGTTATTTCAAAGTAAGTTAGATGTGTGATTATCTTTTTAAAATTAAATACAAATGAAATAACGATGTCCAAATAAAATACTTGTATACTAGAATAAACCTAAGGAGGGTGCACATTTTTCAAAAGAAAAAATTTAGGGTTTAGTTAAGATGGCAATGTGTAACTAATGCACTCATACTGAGGTATCAACCTCACACTAAAAGCATGGGCCCATCCAAGAGTTTCACAAGAAAATAATTTCAAAAATTAAGAATATTAAAAGAAATTCTAAGTTTAGATGAACCCGATAACTATCAGGGTTTATTTAAATTCAATATTTTCAACACAGAATATAAGTGTATATACAATATGTAAAAAAAAATACTAAAATTGCAATACATAGTAGATATGATGAGCTTATAACTTTGAAAATATATCGAGTTCAACGCGAAAAACCTCAAAAGCTTAAGATGTTAAATTTAAATTCTAGATCCGCCTCTGACAAATGATGCATCTACCTCTTTGAGTGAGAGTGCCCTTCTAAGAAAATAATTAGGGTTTGGTATAACTACTGCAGTATGGGCCAATCCAAAAGCTTTCACAACAAAATTTTTAAAAAAATTAATATTTGAAAAATAAAATAAAAAAGAAATAGCATCATTTATGTGTATATATATATCCCCTTTTCTCACTGTTACCATCTCTATGAGCTTCCTAACCCCTCTTTTCTCATCTTTATCTTCTCTCATCTTTCATTAAAAAAAAAAATTAAAAAAAAAAAAAAACTACAAATTTTTTGGATCTATGTAGTATGGTTAATTTCCTTTATATTGCATCTTATTTTATTTTTTTGAGCTATTTTTTTCTATATTTATTTGCTAGTGATCTTGAAATATATGTTTCTATGAATTTTGTTTTTGTTTTTATTTTGATTCTATGTTTTTTTTTCTTAAATCAATTTCTTAGTTATTTTATTTTTTTTTAGCTAGATTTCTCTTTATTTGCTAGTGATTTTGATAATTATTATCTTTTTAGATATATTTTTCTATATTTATTTGTTAGTGATCTTGAAGATATATGCTTCTATGAGTTTTTGTTTTTATTTTTATTTTATGTTTTTATTTAATCAATTTCTTAGTGTATTGATTTAGCTTGCTTCTTCAATAGAAAGATTGTGGTCAAGTTATATATGATGGAATTTTTGAACAATTCCAATCTACATATAAGTTTTTAAATTTTATTTTTTGTTTTGAAGTCTTAAATAGTGTAGATTCTTCTTAATTTAGATCTTTACTTTTGTAGCTAAGAATATGTATATATGTACTTGGATTTTGTACCCTATAAATATATATCCTATGTGAAACATTTATTTAGGGTTTGTGGTTCATTTTGTAGACATCCAATAAAATTGAAACGGTATAGAGAAAATAGGGTTTCTGAATTTGAATCAGGCTTATCGATCTATCGAACAATTAACAACAGTTGTTGTTTGCAGATGTAGCATCATCAAGATTCATACATGAAAATTAAGAGGCAAGGTTATATATGTAGCTTTAATTGAAATGAAAAATAAAATATATCATGACCATGTCTATTTATTTTAAAGTGAGAATCTTGATGATGCTGCATCAGCAATAAATAACTATCAGTGACAGAGTTAGGATTTTTAAGGATTTCTAATATCCAATAGGGTTTTGTATATAAAGGGGTTCAGATGAATATCTTCTGCCTCCGCTCTAAACTAATTATGAGCTGTGGAGGCAGAATTTTGAAAAAATCAACATCTATTATATATAGATATAACGATATTTTCTTGACTTTTCCATATCATCCTCTTTGATTTTTTTGGTGAAATGAACCCCTTTCGTCCCTCTAGCTTCGCCCCGTCACTCTCTAAGCAAAAGTAAATAGTACGGATGCTCAGTTCATTTGTACCTGGAGATAGATGATTAAATGGATTTAATTTTCCTTTATTTTATTTTACTGTATTTTTCAGTACTTTATAGTAAATATTCTTGTCAGTTATATATCTATTTATATATGTAACAATTTTAATTTTTTTAAAAAAAATTCTAACAGGTGAAAATTAGATTCTTTGTTTATTTTGAGACTGCAGATCTGTGGCCACTGAAGTTCTGATAGATCAGAAGTTGTAATTTCTCTATCTTACACAGATTTGGTACGAAAAATATATTTACACAATCAAATCGTTTATTATAAGGTATGTAATTATACTAAATTTTATTACAAGCACGCATCGATTGATTACCTAGTTATTATTTGGAGTTTATGTGTATAAAATTAAAGATTTTTGTGTCTGAATTCACGAACAACTAGTTTGATCGTTATACTTCAAATCAAGCTAAGATAGATTAAAACAGAGCGTGTAACATGTTAAAATACATTAATCAAAGTATAATTAATGATTTATATTGTCAGTATATATAACTTATGCCATTTTTAAACCTAATTTTGGTTTAGGTCAAGGAGTTGGAGAAAACTTCTCATGGGAAGAGGTTAATTAGTTTGAGTTGCCAAGTTTGTTTGTTTTTTTCAAAAAAGATTCAAAATATAATTTTAAGTATTTCATGGGAAAATGAAAAATCATCTAAGTTATGTTTTTTGTCTGTTGAATCAATGAAAGATTTTATATGGGAATTTGCTGCTTCATGGATTTTTGTGACTTTGAGTGTGTGCAAAATCATGAATTTAGTGCATGTCAATGTCATTATTAGGTTGGATTTTGCCTCTAAGAGTTTTTATCAACCATAAGAAGCGGAGTTTTGGAGGAACGGAAAAAATTATCTCAATTTACAGGTTATGAGTCTGAGCTGTGAAATTAGCAACAAGTATTTAGGTCATAGTAGGATCAATGCCTATATTATACTCTCACGCTCTTTCCGAACTCTGTATATATAAATACAAAATGATTTGTGCATTGGATTGCTATTTTGTGAATGTATGAATGAATAAGAGCAAATGTAACACATGATCCACACAACTTGCTATAAAATGACCTAGCAAGTTACTATACGATATGAGTATGGAGATATCAGAATGATGGTATGATGCTTGATTTAATTTAATACCTTCACCATATATTACTAAAGGTAGCTTGGACGTATGCACATGACAAGAAAAAGCTAACTCTAGGCTTCGGTGTCCATAATGCTCGATCATGTGAGTGATACACAGTGAGTATCAAAAATTGATATATTGAGTCACGTGGAATAACTTAACATGATAGATAAGTTATTGAGTACGTAAACAAAGTTTACATTCATAATTGAAAAGATTAAAATGTTATGTATATATGAAATAATGATGTGAGACTTTTTAAAAGAAAATATACGAACTCATCTCAAAGCGGACAATATTATTAAATAACAAGTCATGCTCTGATCTTTTCTAGTGTAACTAATTAATCATCTTAAAAGAGTTGTATTAGATTCTCAATCAACCTTTTTAGTCATGTCATTTATTATATGCTTGATATTTTTGCGGAGAAATTATATTAATCTTTTCTGTATCGTTTTAATTTTATCGAAGGTCTTAAAGGGACATCATGCCACTTGTTGACTGAAGTGTAATTGTCACCTTTCAATTAAATCACCCCGATTGCATGAAACTGATTCACTGATTTGATGATTCCTTTCCCACTTTCTACTTGTCTTTTTCTTTTGTCATAATGCAAAATTCCCTATATTATATTTTTAGTATTTCTCCTCCTAATTTGTCTAATTTCTATTTGCATAAAAACTACAATTTTTCTCAACACAAAAATCTGATTCATCAATCCATAAAGCACTAGGTTGTATTTGTATTGTAATAAAATCTAGCCTAGCAAGATCATTTTTTTTTTCTTGTCATGGACTTTTATGGTAACTCCACACTGACATAATTGTATGGAAGATTTTTTTTAATAATCACGACATTCGGATCAGTTTTCGCACATCTTGATTAATTTTACAGGATATTAGTCATCTGTCACCTCCAACAACATATAGCAAGTAACTTTGTCTATCAAATTTAAAACATATAAGAAGAAATCACCTTATATACACGTTTAAACTGGAGAAAATTAAATGGGATTTTAGAAGTTAAGTTTATAATGGAGACTGTTGAAAAGTAGGTTAAAATTAAATGTAAAGTGAAAGAATAATATTTAGCGAATTCAAGATCTAAGTTTTATGAGTTTAATATTTAATTTACACATAAATTTATGTTTTATGTAAAAAATTATTAGTTCCAAATTAATGAGCTTGAGATATTTTCTACCTCTCAGCACTAGATGTGTTTTTCCTAAAGAAATGAAGGCAATATGCGTCTTTTACATACATATTTATCCCTTCATCATAATTAAACTATATATAACCTTACTTTAATTTTTAACTGTTAAAATTATTTGAATTGCCGTAAATATCATATGCGAATAAACAATTATCTTTTTCATATATATATATCATGGTTCTCAATAATGCATGGAAGTAAAATAATTAAGAAACATGGCACTAGTTTCCTTCTTTCTTTTTCTTTATGGGTGTGTTTGGTACGGAGGAAAACTATTTTTCGGAATTACTTTTTTCTTATATTTAATTGGTCAAATTTTTTGAAAAACATTTTATCTAAGAATATAAATTCCTTACAAATGAAAAAAAAAATATCTTCCTTGATTGAAGTAGGGAAAATAATTTTCACAAGCGACATTCCACATTATGTCCTCCGCACCCTGCAACACACCTCATCTTTACCCCACCATCCCACACCTCTACCTCCACATTACCGACCCCCACCTCCAATAATATCTGTCTAGACTATATACAAATGTTTCTAGACTAAGATCAAAGATTAATTAGCCACATTACATGTTGTATACAAGAAAATGGACTTTGATACTTAGAGCATTTGGCTTAGTTTTTTCTTTGTTTTTTCTTCCCTTACGTCCACATATATATAAAGTGAAAGGAAGCAGAAACAGCAGTGGTACGTAGTACTAACTGGTCCATTATATTTAGATTGGGATGGGTGTGTGTCGGGGAGGGGGGGGGGGGGGGGGGGGGCATTTTTTTTTATGTAGTATTGTAAGTTATCATTGTTGTGAAATGGTGGATGCCATGTGATTAAGTGTGGAGTTAGCATGCTAGGAATGCATTAACTCATGCCAAAGTGTGGTTAGCATTTGCAAGCTACATATTGCCACGTGTGCTTGGCCTATACAATACCAATAAGGTCATTTTAGGAGATTTTGTAGTACATATTTAAATCCTTTATGTCTAAAGGCATTTGATATTAGTATACTACTTTTTCCAGCCATACAAATATTGAGGTACATTTTATATATATATATATGTCCAAGTTATTTAAAATAATTCTAAAATAATATAATTATAATAGTAATAATAATAATAATAATTCCAAAGATCGTGATCTTGCTATTAAAGGAAGAACTAGATCAAGCATGGCTAAAATTAGCGTAGAAATTAATCTCTCTAATAAACCGAGACTGAATAATCATGTGTATGGATCTGGCTGCAAAATAATACTAATTATTTTGCTACAAGGATATGATCAAAAGATTTAATATGAAGGGGTACCCAAATATTGTAACCATTGTAAATAGGGAAAATTAGTTGTCTAGTTATAATACCTAACATATTTAGTCAAAACAACAATACTTTAAAATATTTATTTAAAAATGTCAGAATGTCAATATTCTCAAAAATAATTTGTATTCACATTTTATTATTTATATTTTTTTTATTAATCAAAAGAGTCCATCATTGGACCAAATTCTAACCAATAACAGATTAAAAATAAAAAATAAATACAAAATTATCATTTAATATTCTTCCTACATCCTACACGTTTCCCACCTTTCACGTTTCTAACATAAAGTTTTTATTTTTCCCCAGCTTTCATGTTCCCAGATTCTCTTTTTTCAAGTTTTTTGCTAACCTTGAAACACAAATTATTGAAAGTTCGATTCTTCAACAAAATCTCGGTATTAATTCAAGAAATTTCTCGGTTGATAAAAAAAATCTATATATTAATTCAAGAAATTTTGAATTTGGTAAAGGTAATTTCGATTAGTTATTTAGATTTCTTTTGATTTGTTTTCAATATCACCGTTTATGGTTTATATTTTGCATTGTACATACTACGGATTTTCTGTTAATTTTGTTTATTTTTATGCAAGTTTGTTTACATATTCATGTAAAATTTATGTATTTTAGATTTTTAATCGATTAAACAATTTTTTTTGATTTGTTTTATTTCGTTTTAATATTTTAGATTTATTAGAATCTACAAATTCATTCATATGTTTATTTTGTTTGATTTTTAATACATTTAT